TGACATATCTCCTTTCATTTCTTCAAGGAATCATTAACATTGTGGACATGTGATGCTACTGGAAATCATAAATCATGTGGGTTGGAGTGGATCCTAAAGATCATCTCTAGTTCCAGTTCTCCTGCCACAGGCAGGGACACCCTCCACAAACCAGGCTGCTCAAAGCCCCATCCAGCTTGGCCCTCAACACTTCCAACTTCCACAGCGTCTCTGGGCAACCTGTGCCAATGCCCCACCACCCCAAAAATAAAGAATTTCCTCCCAATATTTAATCTAGACCTGCTCTTTTTCAGCTTGAAGCCATTACCCCGTTTTATCACTCCATGCCCTTGGCAAAAGACCCTCTGCAGCTCTCTTGTAGCCCTTTTCAGGCACTGGAAGGTGCTCTAAGGTCTCCCCAGAGCCTTCTGGTCTCCAGACTGAACATCTCCAGGTCTCTCAGCCTCACAGGAGAGGTGCTCCAGCCCTCCTGTTATTACAGCCTTCCAATCTTCTTGAAGTAAGGAGTGCTATTATTTTTGTATTTCTCCCACTTGCTTGTCTGGGTGCAACACTCAAGTAGAAAATAAAATCAATACCACTGGTAGAGATAATGATTGTAATCTGATGACCTAATTTACCAGTTGGGCTTTTCTATTGTTCATTTTATGTTAGTTTATAGGACACTTTTATTATTTGATTTTATTTCTTTCCTCCCCCTCCAAGTTTCTCAAGGTTAAGTTTTGATTAGAATTAGATGAGAATCTTTTCAGAAAAACATCTCATTTTGTTAAAAACTATTACATTTTGACAAATTTTAATGATTTTTTTACTTTTTTTTACTTTTTTTTTTTTTTGGCCCAGCTCTAATGACTTACTGACTTTAAGGAAATAATTTCTGGTGGAAGGCATGACTTGATCTGAGGACCAGAATAAAAACCTGGCTTTTAATGACCAACAAATTTATATTTTGGCCATATAGGACTATATGCACTTTGAGCAGTTTTACTGCAACTAATGGCCATGGATGTTTGGATTTGCAAGTCACAAAGTATCACTACTGAACTTTGACTAGATGACTGAACCACTCTAAAAAAGGAAGAAAAAAGCAACCCAGTGCAACTGGTTCACCAATTGTGTTCACATTTATATTCACTACAAATCAGCATCTACACCAGCAAAATTTTCACAATAGGAGTGTATACCAAAAATCACCAAGTATCACGAAAATAAACTCAGAAGTATTTAAATAAAGCATTTTTAGCCAACTCTTTTAACCAGGATCTACTGCATTCTCTTTCCCTAATGCCAACTACATTGGTAAACACTGTGCTATCAGCAATAATCCATGTATATCAACTTGTTTCTGTATTACACTGCTGAATTAATATTGCTTAGAATACTCCTTCCTAGTAATTAGGGTATTTTCACAGAGCACACAGTTCCAGAATTACAAAGTACTTTGATAACTTCCATGCATTTTTCTGTCACAGTACATTGAACAGCAAAATCTCAAGAAGCTATTGGAAAAATAATAACAAACATGAAAATTGTTGATAGAGTACAGAACTGCTGTGTCACTGCATGCACTGCCTGTATGCAGTGTGGATTCTTCCAAGTCTCCACCTGACACACCATATGTGGTTGACTCTCTGAGGGGAGTACATTTTCTTCAGTACACCATTTCCACATCCCTAGATTATGCAAACAGATGTGTGAGATACCCAAATTACAGAAATTATCAGAGGTGCCAGTCAGAGCAGCCCATCACTAAAGCCTGCCCAGCCACAAGTGTGTCCTAACAATATTTTAATGAGGTAGAAAATTACAGATCTCTTTTTCCAACATTTGTTTTATTTTGGTTTTTGATGGACGTTTTTAAGCCAAGAAGTCTCCAGTCACCTCTCATTTTAAAGGTTTGACTTCATTTTCTCATCTCCCACCTGACATCTCCTTTCACAGAGTGGCACTACACCTCTTTCATCACACATGTGGATGTCAGGGCATCACTTGGAGCTCCAGGTGGAAGAATGAAAAGGAGGAACAGAAGAGCTTTGAATAAAACACATTATATTTTCATATTAATGTCTCCTCTTTATGGAACAGAGGATGAAAGAATAAAAAGTACATGTGGCCTACAAGGAACTGAGTTGTGTCTACAGAGTGTTTGCTCAGAGTTATGTAGTAAGCATCATCAGACTGTTTTTCTTCAGGGGTTTAAATTTCTCTGGAGTGGTAGGAGGAAGAGGTGTTTCACAAAGCAGCCAAAAATAAGCAAATAAAGAAGAAAATTCTCTTGGCAACAGATACAAGAAATGCAGCTGTAAAAGACACTATAGCTTCTCTGGCAGTGTTTGCAGGTAGAGCCTTCTCAAGACTAAAACTAGCAATCTCAGTGGAGTTTATTCACAAGACTTTTGAGTGACCCAAAAGCTATTTACAAGACAACATGACAAGCTAAAATGGCAATGAAAATATCAGTGAGCAATGGGGAAAATGCATTTTTTTCCTTTCGTCAACCATTCAAACCCATGTAAAAGTCTTTAAAGTCTTCCAGGTGCACCTTCCCTGTCAAAACAAGCAGCGTAACTAAACGCAGCCTCAGGAAAGCCTGATGCCAGAGGCCTTGCTTTGTGTCTTCCAATTTTAGAGAAGTCCTAGTTTAGAGAGTACTGGAAGTAATCTGTACAAAAGTAACTCCTCAGCCTTCCTCAGATATCAGAATATTTCCCTCATTCTCTGCCCAGTACAGCTGTGTCCTGGTTGATCCCTTCAAAGCCATTTGATTTCGATAAAGCACCAGGAACAGGAGAGAGTATCCCCACACTCTGCTTTAAGTTGTGACTTCAGGACATTTTACTTCACTATTTATTTCTGCTCGTAAGAATGAGTGAAGTCAGTCTTCTCACTTTTCAGGTTGATTACACTCTACATACAAGCCAAAATACACAATAATAAATTAAAACATCCAGCCAACAACAAATCGCAGGGCACTGAGCAAGGCTTTACCCAACTTGTATACCAGCACTGGCTACAGAGATGGTGCTGCAGAAATCTGGATTTCAACTGTACTTCAGGCACTCTCTTAGGCCCCAGTTCCCTTTTGCCAACTGTGACCAAGCCTGGAGTGCAAAGGGCTTCCCTTCTGATTCAGCATTTCAGTGCTGCTGGATCCTCTAATACCTGGCTGCACAGAATGGAAACGCATATTAAAGCTCATTGCTGCTCTCTGTGGTGCTCTCAATCACACAGGCACAGCTGCTTTCTGCTGTGGATGTGTCTGAAGACTGACATTGTCCATAGAATTGCAGCTGAAATTATTCTTTTGTCCTAGGGTCATTATGATTGTCATTATGACGCCAGAATGAGATGCAACAGTGTCTCCACAAGTTGTATTATTCTCACTTTTGACAGCAAAAGTACAGTCTAGCTTACACTGAGGTGTGTTATGCAAGGGGCATTCTGTTCAAGGTGAAAATACAGGCTTGCATTTTCATGCTTTGTGAATGGCTGTAGGGAAATTGGATGGGTGGTTGGAACATTTTTTCATCTTTTAACTTGCTGTTTGTCTTTGAAGCTCCAAGCCTAGGTTCTCTTATTTGTTAGGTTCTAAGAGGCCCTCAAATTTGAGCTCCACAGAAAGGGAAAATTATAACTTCTTCATTTTTCTTATTGCAGGCATCCATTAGCTCATTTCACAAAAAAACAGAACTGTAAACAATGACAGGAAACCTCAAAAGGCTTGGAGTACTATACAGGACATGGGGGTCCAGGAACAGGGACAGTCCTTTCAGTCCATTCCTCTGAGCCACTTGAGCAATTACAATTTTGTTGGATGTCTCAATGACAAGGTATCCAGATTTCTATGACTTTCTGCTTTTATTAGCCCAGAAAAAAACAGAAGATTAATAGAGCTCTGTGTTTGCATCTGACATTTTGAGACCCTGTTAGGAGTCCTGCAGGAAAGAAATATTGATACAAACACACTTGTGACTATCTATACAGACACTCCCACAGCAATGCATTTAAGTTAAAAATGGAATTTAGCTTGCATTAGTTTCAGCTAACACAGGTTCTGAGAAAGGATTAAAAAGCAGAAGCAGCAAACAAAATCTCTGGTCTATCCTTTGCAGTCCAAATATGAATTCAACTTAAGAAGTAAATTTGACCTAGAGCTCTTCCTTCTTTTATAAATTAAAAGAAAATATTTGACTGAACCACTCATGAATCTTGCTATGTTCAAAAACTGTGGGTTTGACATAAATTTATAGTTTAGAAACTACCATGACCGTCTCATTTTAATCATTGGTTCAGCTCCTCCCAATTTCAAGATTTCTATTTTACCAAAAGCTTCTCTTCTAAAGGCATATTCACAGGACACAAGGCCATTTCTGCTCACAGGCAGACTAATGCCTCCATAAGGAATTGACAAGAAGCCCCACAGATTTACACCAAAACACAAGAAAACCTTTGATTTGATTTGGACTCTACAACCATGTTTGCAGGGGCAAAAAAAGTTCGGTGTCTTCTTCATCTCTCAGCTTTCTTTTGCATGAGAGTCAAAGTTACACTGATTTCAGTCTAGAGGATACATGCTCACTTTCAAGGGCTAAGCAGGTCTAACAGTAATTAAAAACACAACACCAGCCACTAGAGCATGTCTGTCTGTGGCAGAAATGCTGGTGTCCTCCAAGACTTCAGGCTTTGTCCCTTAAATGTAGCAGGACCAGAATGAACTGATTTGGGATGGGAGAACTGAACTCATTCTCCCACCCAAATCAATGCTTTGTTCAGACTATTATTCAGCATATTTCAGTTCTGCATGACTCTTAGATCAAAGACCCACTATTCCAATGTTGTTTAAACACATAATGCCCCTTTCATACCAGTTCTAAATTAATCTCAACAAATCAGCAGTGCAGACTGTATTCAGTCACATTGCCGTCAAGACTTCATTCCAGCACCTCTGTGTGTGTGGGGAAGTTGTGTCAAGGGAATCAGGAAGAGGGTTTTGCTCTTACCAGTAGAACCTGTTGGGTGTAACTCCCTCATGAAGAAGCAGCCATCTTCTGCCAAACTCCACAGAACTGAATAACTGTGGACAAAACAAACAGTCATGAATCACAGTGAAACACAAAGATACCAGAGAAATTAACCTGAAAAACCCTTTACCACTTCTGAGACAGTGACTTGGACTTCTATTCGTCTCAGTCTTGAAGAGACACACCTGGGAGAGCTGAAACACGTCTGTGGTACCTTTTATTGGCACAGAGAATACTGGGATGTTTGATATGGGACACAACTGGTATTACCTGAGGGATCACTTTATAGGTAAACCCAGAAACCTGCCCTGAATGAAAATTCATCATCCAGTTGCCTTCCTCAATATTATGTTCAGAAGAACATTGTTTTTCCATTAGCAGTGCCATCCTTAGGAAGTTTTGTCAATCTGGCACCAAAAAATGTTCTAACATGTCTGGACCTCCCTTGCAGGACTGGATGAGTTGAAACAGAACAAGTTACTTGTTCCAAAGAAATAGTGTGTGATCCTCCCTCTGCTCTTGTCCTTCTCCTGCCAACAACGTGACACCTTCTCCTTGTCTGGTTACGCAAACAATACCCAAATACATCAATCATTTCAGGAAATCTTCCAATGAGAAATACCAAACCAGCCTGAGAAGGGTCATAAAAAAGGCACGTTACAGGTATTATAAATCCTCTGTCATATCTTTGTGGAATGATAGACAAATGTTACTATTACAGAGCACTTACCAACAGCTGCTCTCCCTAAGTGCTGCCATCAAGTAATTCTCAGAAGGCCAGTAGAGGGAAGGATCACTTGGGTTCTGTTATTTCTTTTGTTTAATTTAGCTTCAAATTTATCATGTGGAAGGACCGAGAGGCAGTCAGCCCTACACTTTTCTTGCAGATTCATCCTGTTTCCCTTCCTTTCTTTGCTTGGTAGACTTGGTCAGTCCCCTTTTCTGGCAAGGCAGATGCTGGACATTGTTTTTTGAACTATTATCTCTCTTTTCATGACATCTCTTAAAGGACTTTGCATAAAATGCAGATGATCTGAATCTTTATGCCAAATTTTTTTGGAACATGAAGTGGCTGTGGATTGGTAGGAAAGACAGATATCTTTGAGATTACTCAAAGAAAAAATGATGAATTAAAAGCTTTGTGTTCATCAAAAAGATGATTTCAATGTATTTTAAGAATTATGAGACTGGGATATAAAAAAAATCTGAGATCTACTTATTTGGATATTGATTCCAATATCCATACCTTTCCTATGTTAAAAACTTTTAAGAACATGGAGAAACTAATTGAAATAACTTTTAAGTAAAGAGTTGACTGGCATATATTAAAATTTATTTGAAATATTAAAGCTAAAAATTCACCTCTTTCCTCTCCCCTTCTCTTGAACACTGTCAAAGAAGAGAGAGGGAAGAAGGTGGAGGGGACAGAAGAGAACAAGAGTAAGAAGAGGGAACAACAGTTTAGTTCTGTGGCTAGAAGAGCATCCAATTTTAAAATTTCAGTGAGTCTTATTTTTCCTTAAGTAGAAGATTATAGATCCATTTTTATTTGAAACTTTAGGAAACACTAACTATAACAAAGGAACACCTTTCTTTTTGGAAGTTATATAAAATCTTTTAGAACATTGAACAACCACTTTTTTGGAGTGATTTAAGGTCCTCTATTCAAGAACTTCACCACTACAGGAAGCATTTTCCCTCCCTCACACTCAAAATCCATTTCTAGACCTTTTTTTATAATTGCAGCAAATATAAACATGACAACAATTGCTACTATCTATTATCTCGCTGATGTCAAAGTTTTTCTTTTCATGGTAGTTTCTTCTGTGCTAAGTACTGTCTTTGACATACAGTAATTTAAGTTTCAATAAAGCCCATCTGATCCTTTAATTAAGAGCAGGGAACAATCCAAACTCAGCAAATACCTCTGTATTTCCAGGCCAGGGATAAACAGGATGCAAGCTTTCCAGGGACACTGATGTTCCCACAGCTGAAGTCATTTTATTGAATCTTGCTTTCCCACTTTTTATCTCTCCCTCTTACTCCTCTTTGGTTTCCCTGAACACAGCTAGTAAGTTGTTATTCCCTAATAAGCAGGTTATTCCCTCTCTGAATTTGCTGGTGACAGTAACAGTGCTCAGAATGAATTAATCACAGCCTGATGTGATACTCCCCTCCCTCTTTCTCTGTGCTGGTGTAGCACCTTCCTCCCCTCCTGCAGTCCCACTGCTTGACAGCCCTGGTGCCACAGCTTCCCTCTGGCTCCTCTAGCACAGCTCTTCCTCCAGAGGGGTCTTTGCCTGGAGCATCCTCCAACTCCCCCACGAGAACAGAGGCTGTGATGCTGCAGAGCACCCAGACAGCCCTGCTTTCTCCTGATCTGTGCCCTGAGATTCAGGGCACATGATTCAGGCAAAAATTTGGAGAAAAGCAACAGTTGCTCAGTCTGTTTCAAAGGTAGGAAACGGATCCAGCAATTCTACTGTCAGGGCTGGACTGTTTAAATTAGAAGCCAGTGCCCAGTGAGCTGGAGTCAGCATGTGAGAAAAGGCAACAGCTCTCAAAGGGAAACATCAGCTCCCTGGGAGCCCATATCCAAAGCTCTCATTGTCTTTGATAAGACACTTTTATAACCAGACATAAGAAGGGTTTTCATCCTCTGCCATTATCTCAGCACCAGCTTTGGCCTTTACTGACTCACAGCAGCACAAGCAGCACTAATGTATCTTTAGCAAAGAGGGAATTCCCCACCTTATGGATGACCACCCCACCTCCCTCCCAAAAAAATTACAGTAAGGATTTTTTTAGATATTTTATTCTAAGTATCATTAACTTTTAAACCTAGTTAATTCAGTTGTACTGGAAAAAAAGAAGTCTTTGAAGGCTATGTTTCTGTCAAGTATCGGTTATGATCCAGCTGGGATTATTTTTCCCCTTTTAGCAACTGTAGTGTTTGAATGGATATTTTTTAAACCCAGCACGGCATTTTGCTCTTGTTAAAAAATCCCTCTCTCTCCTGGGACTTCTTGTGATAGCCTTGTGCATGCAGTCCCTTCAAAGATGACATTTTGTTTTCTTTGGCAAGCACTGCTGTCTGATGACAATTTGCATTATTAGAATGAAGTCAGAGAATGTTTTTTGCTGCACTTATTTTTCAAGCACAGATAGAAAACGAACCTATTACAATTTTATTGTGTGTTTTCATCTGAGGGCCAAGCTGACATTTCTGTTTTCATGGAGACAAAACTGTTATGAAGTACAAATCTTGTATTGATCTCTCAGATTTGACTTTTGTTCATCAGGGAATAATTCTCTTCTTGCTTCTTCTCCTCTACATTTATTTTTCTGTGTAATATGCAGATTGTGTAACAACCATTAAATAGTCTGGGTTTGCTTTGTTTTGCTTTTTTAAATCTTAATATTCCATGAAGTAGAAACCTACCACCTACCTCATTTATATAAGAGAAAAGAAATGCAAAGGAAAAGAAAAGAAAAGGCTGTTCTGAGGTTACAAACACCTTCTGAGGCTGAGCAGGGATTCAAATAAACCCTTTGAATGGTGAGACAATTCCCCAGCCCTCTCACAACACGACCCCACTGTCTCTGGGAGTAGGGAAAGCTGACATCTGACAACTGAACTTCTTTCCTTCTCTACACCAGGCATGATATGATACTCCCCCTCCCTCTTTTTTGTTTCCCAGCCTGTATGAGAAGCCCAAGAGCTGCTCATGTATTTTATAGGGATAGTGTAAGCTTCACCTTGAAATGCTATGGGATATCCAGGTAACAGCAGCATACAGTTGCCATGTATTATTCTTTTCCCCTTCTCATTTCCCAATCTTTCCAGCACCAACTTCAGACTTGACTAATTTTTTATTTTGCATTTCACAGTATAAAAAACCCAAGTAAATTCTATAAAATATAAGGAGAAAACGTGTTTTGTTTCCAAAATTTTCCATTAAGAATAACTGAGTTTTATTTGACCCACCCATTCTGATATAACACCATCTAGAGGGTCATTATGCCAGTCAAGACCTACCATCACCCTTAATGTTTTCAACAGATTACTTTTGCTAGCCAAAGCTGTTATGTGAGAAATGTCTTGTGCCTCCATCTTCACTTTAGTGCCTTTACAGATTGATGCAGATACAACTGACCCCGAGTGTCCATGATGTTTCATCATTCAGCATTTAAAATAATTGGAATAAATATTTGATTCTGATGCTCCTCCACATACAGATTTTGAATCATGTGGCAGTTCCATGTGCTTCCTATGCTGATGAGGATATTAAATTTTAGACAATGATTTAATCTCATGCAAGAAAAAATATGCACATAGAAATTCAAAACCTGGCTAAATAAAGGATGATTTAAATTGTGTGTTGGAAGTGATATTAGGGAAATACTTTGAGAAAATCAGTAGTTCCTATTATTTCTCTTTTACTTTAGAGATTTCCCCTGAACATTTTATAATGGAATACAGCATGGAGTCTGAGTTGACTGGGTTTACCAATTTTGGTCTAACGTTCAAAAACAAAAAGGCTCTTTCTCTCATCTCCAGTTTCTGTGCACTCTCAACTCATTCTCCCTGGACACAAATCAGAGCAAAAAATATCAATCTACACTACATTATTGACCTAAAAAAATAACAGATGCAAATGGAAAACTAGCTCAGAACAGCTTTGAAAGCACTGGGTTTGATTCAAATTCACCTCTAATTTCATGAGAAGGTTTCTACTAGTCACGGCTCCTGGTACTTTCTTCACCTATGCTGACTTCCTGACTCTTACACTTCCTTGTGTTTCTATGGGATGATTAATGTTATTCATGCTGTTTCCCCCTTACCCCTTCACACACCATTTATTCACATACAAAAATCCTCCAAACACCAGTGCACCTTAGCCACACGTTGGTGAACCATATAAATATTTTGAGAGATCTTTCTTTTCCTCAAATTTCAAATTCACCAGGGAATGCAACATCCCAAAAGCAGTTTAGCTTTAACTATAAACATAACAGAGTCCAACTGGATAATTTTTTTTTTTCTGAAGAT